GATTCATATAATCTCTGTGTCCGCAAATCTTGTACCTTGTTCCTTATTAGTCTAACATCACTTCCTTGCTGCATCTGTATCTCTCCAGGCAAAGCAAGCTGACCATAACACCATTACAGAGTGGGAGGCAGGAGTAGCGGTGCTGCTTCTTGCTTTAATGTCTTTTTGATTTCCTCTTTCTCATAGATCAAACCTGTGCATTGCTGGAGCCTTAACTATTGCTAACACAGGCTTCCAAGGGAAGGATGTCTGAGCGGAATCACATTGAAAATTAGGTATTGAAGGGAGCTGTGTGTCTTAAGCGAGGGCTGCAGTGCCACAGCTCAGTGTAGGAGCCAGCCCCGTCTGTAAGGAGCAGTGCATCACTCGCAGGACTTGCCTCTGCGGGCACTTTGCTGTGCAAGCACAATGAAATTCAATAACCGAGTCTCTCCTTCTGGTGAACTTGTGCAGTTGGAACAGGAACGCAGAGCTGTTTATCCACCATAGGCCTCCCCGGGCTCGGAAAATATGCACCTGACCTTTGAGGAGACTATAGCATCCTCCACAGAGAGCACCTCTGTGCAAACACCTCAGTGGCACAGGAGCAAAGTAAATAACACAGGGGACAGGCTCCAGCCCGCAGGCATGTGGGCTTGTGGAGACATCAGAGATGCTCCGTTGCTGCCCAGTCATATATCTGAGGGCAAAGGGGGGAAGCAGGAGCTGAGATTCCCCCCCCTTCTGCACCATTTAGCCATAAAACAACTTTCCCTGTCAGCCAGACACATGATCTTTGTGGATCATAACCAAGTTTAAGGGGATTAGGAAGCATCATGGCAGGGAAGTGCCCTGAACAAGTCAAGTGTGTGCCTACAGCAGCTTTTTAGCTCCTTTGTACCTCTGTAGATGAGATCACAGTGGTCTGTTTGTATCCCTTGCTGGAAGTGAGAGCAGAGCAATAATGAGCGAAGGGATAAACCTGCTTCCTGACTTGTTGTTCTGTTTTATTCTTGTCTTTTCTTTCTGTTTTCCTTCTTTCTTTGTGTCTTGCTGGGATTTTCTATTATCGCTGAGTCAGACACAGATTTATCGGCTGCAAGTATGATTAATTTCCAGTTTGCACCTTGTTCTGATCTCAGAGCAAACCATCCTGCCTCTTTGGTTTCTTGATGTTCTTGAAAGCAAGAGAAAATCTGAGCTCTGAGCAAAATAGCCAGGCCCCTTTCTCCAAAAGGAGCCATGCTGAGGTTTCACTGTGAGCATCCTAGAGGGGAAGAACACGATTTAGCACCTTTTCTTTCTCCAAACCGCTAACCTGCTATGGTTTTACAAGGGTTGGGGTTATACCAATAGATCCTGCAGACAGGTTTGGGTCTATTCTTTCATTTTTTATTGGTTTGATCCCTTAGCAAAGGCACACAATGACAGTTTAAACACTTTAGATTTACTACTGTTCTGGGGGAGGGAAGCATGTTTTAAAGCTTATAGGCCTAATAACTTTATTAAGTTGCTCTGTTAAGTCTTATTAAAGCTCTATAGGCTTATCATTAAGTTTTGTGTTGTGCTTCCTATGTTTTTCATGGGAAAACCAAACCAGAGTGGCAGCGAGGTGCAATACACTGTTCCTTTAATGAATCAAGCAAGAGGGAAGAGGTGATGTTATTGGCTTTGCAGGAAAGTGAAGATATTGCTGCTAATTTATTCTCATAAAATGCAAATTTTATGGATGCTGGGAATTTTTATTATGGCTCTTGATGATTTGTCTGACCTATGATACCTGCCAGGAACTTTACCTGGGAGCAAAGCCTCAGACTGGATGCTCTGCAGACAGAAGCGAAGACAGAAATGTCAATTGCCACTTGTTCTGTTAAACCTGATTCATCCAAACTTGAAGTGGGAATATCTTGAATGTACCTAAATCTCCATATACACTTCATGCATGCAAATCACAGTGGTGGTGAGTTAAACTGCATCCTGAATAGCTAGAGAAAAATAAACTCCAAGAAGTGGGAGTCAAACATGTGGGCTTGAATGTTCACTCTGTTCAGATAACACCACTCCCGTGTGTCTCAGAGGTGGAGAAACCCCTTGAGCCCGGTTCTGGGTTTGTGATGTCTCAATAACTCACACTTGTCTAAGTGCCATCTGCATCCTTCTTGTGTGGAAGCAGTTTATGGCTGCTCAGCTGATCAAAGCCTTTGAAAAGATGGAATTTCCTCTTGGATTTTTGGGGGCAAAACCCCAAACATGACTTGCCTGTCTCTTCTTAGAGTCAGGTCCTAAAGCCAGGTTAGACAGAGTCTTGGGCAACACAGTTTAGTGGGAGGTGTCCCTGCCCCTGGCAGGGGGTTGGAACTAGGTCATCTTAAGGTCCTTTCCAACCCAAACCATTCTGTGATTCTATGATTCTATGACCGCACTCTGTCATAGATGAGGTTTTGACAGAACTAGAAACAGAAATCAGATGACAGAGTTTTGCTAAGATGTTACTGTGGTACACATCCATATATATAATATGAGTGTGAATGAAATCCATGCAAACCCTCAGGTGAACCATTATTTATTTAGTGTTCAGACCAGATGCAATTGGTTTTGCAAAATGCTTGAGAGATTTGCTGCTACAGTTGCCTCTTTCCTTTTCCTACCTGCTGTTTGAAACATCCTGAACAAGCGTATTTGATCATCTTCTTGTCCTTCCTTACAAAGTCACACAGGAGCTGTCTTCCCAGGTTGTTTGAGCTTTCTGTAACCTGCTGCTTTGTTCCAGGCTCCTCAAAGCTTCATCCTGCCTGAGCCAGCATGGCCATGTCCTTGGGAGCTGCTTGGTGGCCTTCTTGGTTGTCCTTTCACCACCTGCTCATGCTGAAGTTGCCTACAGAGAGTCTCTGGGCATCTGTCATGTCCAGAGATTGCGAGCTAGAAATGTGGCCAAATCCACTCTTCTAGAGAGATAAGATAAAGGTAAGAATGGGAGGTACTGACCAGGCATAATGGGAGGTGACATGGTCTAGAGTGACATGGCTCTGTTCAACCTCACTGTCCAGTGACACAAATGACTCAATCTGGTCTAGTGGAAGGTGTCCCTGCCCATGGCAGGGGTTGGAACTGGGCTTTAAGGTCCCTTCCAATCCCAAGCAGTCTGTGATTCTATGATTCCATGATTTTTAAATCCTAAATCAGTAATGCACCAAAGGTCACCCATAGAGTCTAAGGCACAAACTCCGACAGTGAACCTTTAAGTCCTGAACCTTTATCACAAGCCTGTTCTTGTCCCTCAACTTCCACAAATAATGTTGTGTGAAGGTTCATTTTGTATGAAAATGGAGTGAAATGAAATGCAGATACAATGAAAGCTGACACTAAACTGTGCTCAAGCAGAATCCAACCCGAACTGCTTTTCACTGCAGCAGAAACATGGGCTAATCCGCTTATCAGTGGGAGTTGGAGGTCCTGTACGAGTCGGAACAGGATGTTCAATTCAAGCAAAAGGATTTTCTCTCTGAATAAGAGGACACCTACTGAATATGCAAATAGTCAAATGTTCTCTTGACGGTTCTTATAAATGGATTGCTTACTGTGGTGTTTAAATGAGGTTAATTTCATCTTATATTTCTATACTCCTGTTGGGCCTGAAGAATCTTGAAGTACTTTACCAGCAACTACAAACATGTACTTTTTAGAAGTAATTTAAGTCATTGGACTATATCTATCAGCCACTGACAGTATCAGCACCACCATGTACAGTGATGATGAAAAACTGCTCAACCATAATCTGAGATTAAATTATGAATTCTTCTATAAAACGTGATAAAGGCTCTCACATAGAATCACAGAATAGTTCGGGTAGGAAGGGATCTTCAAAGGTCATCTTGTCCAACCGCCCTGCAATGAGCAGGGATATCTTCAACTAGATCAGGTTGCCCAGAATCACATCCAGCCTGACTTTGAATGGCTTCTATACATACATACAAACCACTATATTTCTCCTGGCCTTACCCGAAGGCCTTGCTGCTTTCTAGTCCCTGGAATTAAATGCATCTACATCAAGAGACTGAATGTTCCAGTTAAAGTTGCCGCAATTTATAACAGTCCTGTCTCTCAGAAGGCTCACACAGAGTTCCCTTCTGGAGCGCTTGTGCATTGATTTTCCAGGGTAAACACTGATGGCAAAGCAACGTTCGAGGCTGCTGAGTCACTGGTGTGTGTCTGACACCGTGTCACTGTCAAAAAGAGGGGGAAAAGAAGGAATTTCATGGTTTTCAGCATTCCCTCACCTGTGCCGTGTGACATTCACAGACTTCGTGGGACTTTTCGCTGCTTTTACAGACCCTGTTTAAATAAACCACAGGATGCTCTGAAATATTAAGCAGCTAAATTAAATGTTGCACGATAAAATTGTTTGAAGGAACAAATGATGCTCTTGGACATTAAACATTTGCTACATTGATGGGAATTAACAGAATTTATTAATCCTATAGAAGACCTGATTGAATAAACTTGACATAGGCTAAGATAGGTCTGCATGCAAGTGAAGAAATTAATGCCCAAAGAACTTAAGTTCCAAAAAAAAGACACTTAAAATTTGGGTGCATTAAATCTAAGCATGTAAAAAGAAAGGGTAAGAAAAAGAAAATGCCATATGTATTGTTTTATGTTTGTATGTTTTATGTTCTTTACTGTGAAGGTGGTGAGGCACTGGAATGGGCTGCCCAATGCTCCATCCCTGAGATGCTCAAGGCCAGGTTGGACAGAGCCTTGGGGGACATGGTCTAGAGTGAGGCATCCATGCTCGTGGCAAGCGATTGGAACTGGATGAGCTTAAGGTCCTTTCCAGCCCAAACTGTTTGATGGTGCTATGATTCTATGTACTGTGGCTGCTCTGAGTATAATTCTTTGAGGAGGTTTCTATCTAAAATGCAGTTTTACTCTTTTTCCCTTGCAGACAGGCTTTACAAGGTCTTGATCTGTTATATTGGAAGTGGTAAAACATTCTTGAAATGTGTTTTTGAAATCTTTAGACCTTTGACCACATTTGCTATGATGATACAGACTTAACAGTAAACCCACTTGAGAGACATTTTAATGCAACACTTTAAATGAAATCAATGGGTAGTTTCAGAATGGCAGCTGAATGTGTGTTCTTGCCATTTTCCCATTTAACGAGAAGAAAAGGCCAAACAAGGACCAATTAGTCATAATAAAATAAGCTTTGATGACATTTTCACTCCTGAACTCTGGTATAAAACAGTCATCTAAGAAAGAACTGAAAGGATATATGAGGAATTTGGTAGTATAACTGCATGAACATACACATACAATCCTGAGTGAAAAATGATCAGGTAAAGGCACTGTGGATTACTTTGTATATGGAGAAAATGTGCTAGCTGTGGGTTTATGTGTATGCATGGAGCTTTTTGCTTCATTTAGTATTAACTTATAATTGATCTCAGTCTCCCTTTGAAGTCTATGCAGGTTAAACTCTGTTTTCATTCTTTGGATCTCCATGATGTTCGTGTGCTCGAGTTACCCTGTCGTCTCTTCCATGGTAAGTCATGTGCCCTGCTTGCTTGAAGATGATGAGCTTCATTTCTTTTAAATAGCTATTTTATTTCAATTAGTGGGTTTTGCTTGCCTGTTTCCTTGTTGTTTTATAAAATGAAAAAAGTTTCTTGTATTAAAGCCATTGCTTAAATATTATTACCTGATTTTCCTGGAGTACAGCTCAGTTTTTGCTTTAGTTACTAATAAAATATGCAAGCATCTAAAATAATCATGTGAGAAATCTATTTCATATTTAATGTGCAGTGTGAGGAGCTGAAATATTGTATGGAAAGGAGAAAAACATCGATCTCCTCTCCACCTGAGTCCCTTGTCTACATCAAATAGGTACCACAAGATATATGTATTCATTTCACTTATTGCTAGCTAGTTTATAAAGCAACACATTTATCTATCACTGTTAGTGTGAAAGTAAGGAGCAATTCTTATATAAAGTTATGGAAAATTATTGCATAGAATCAGTAATACAAATGTGATTGAACTATGAAAGTAGCATAGCCCATAGAACTGAAGTGAACAGGTTACTTAAATAATTCTGACATCCTTTCAGCTGCTGATCTTGACCAGTTTATTTACCACAACACATTCCTGGTCAAACCACACATTTAAGACTTTGCCATTGTGGAATGAGATACTTTATTTCTACTGATATTCAATTTCCCTGCTTTGGACAAAGTCTCCTTTAGATTCGCTGTTTCTTTATTGCTGTAAAATCAACTCTAGGAGCCATGGTTCAGATTTCTTTTTCTCCTCTGATGTGTTTTCCATCGTAACCTTTTCATTAAGGTGATGTGTCGCTAGCAGATATAGTGGCTACTCCTAAAGCTCTTTATTTTATTGATGTGAAATTCCTGTTAGCCTTAATCTACTCATCACTCGGTCTCTCTGTATGTTTTCTGCTGTAAATGCTGAATCATTTTTCATTTCTGACCACAATAGTTTAGATGTAGATCAATCTGAGTAGCCACAGTTCTTAATGTCAATGATACTACAGCTAAAATGAGTTTAATTATTTCAATGAATATCTTGCATGTCAAAATAACAGTAATTTATTCAGCAGTGAAATCCCCGTGTAGGTTGTGAGATAGGAGCTAAAAATTCAGAGGGGAATTTCTCTATGCCTGTGTTCCTTGCATAAAATATTTTTCCTTGTTAGGGAAGCCTTCAGCCTGGGGAACAAACCCAGCCCCGGTGCATGCTCGTGCTTGAGGAGGAATCATTAATCTACCTTTTATACGCACAGAACAGGCAAAAGAAATATTAAGCACTAAGCAATATTAATAAAAGCAATAGCGTACTGAATTAAAACTAATCTTAGTGAAGCTAATGGCAGTTTTGCCATCAATTCCAGTGAAGGCAGATGTTAACCCTGTGGCTTTGCATGCAACTGTTTCCCAAGCAAGAATGCTTGAGACATTTAGACAGCCTTAGTAAGTAATAGTTCTTTCAGATAGATCATCTACAAGCTTGTAAATCGCAATGTGCTGCAAGATGCACGCAGCAGCTATAGGCATGCCAGGGAATGTCTGAGTTTAAATTCAATGTTAACTCCAATGCAATTTAAATTCGTGAAGGTTTTTATGTTGTTTAACTTTTTATACTGTAAACCTTTATGGGTTTTAATCTAGACCTTTTAAAACTCCCCTTACTACTTTGTCATTACTGAACTTACGTTATATCTAAGTTTAACATATTACCTTAGCTAGTTGTAACTACTAGAAAGCTTCTCCCACAGATTTCTGCTTTGCAGGTATTATCATTTCCTCTTATCCATCATTTGAGCTACATGACTCCCCCCAAGTGATGACAAGACGCTGTTTCATTTTACAGCAGTAAACATACATGCTACTCTAGGGAAATGGTGTGACATGCCACAACTGGTCAACATCATGGAAAACAATTCATTTCATACCCTAAACGTACTTGCGGCAGTATGAGTAATTTATACCAGACATACCACTGTGAAGTCTTCTAGAAAACTAGGAAAGATCTGACTTGGAATATGAGGAATCTTTAGCAAACAGCAGTTCATCTTTGGCATTTGAAGCATGAAGGGTTTTTCTGTTTCTACTTTGCTTTTTCTACTGACCACGTCCTGGCAAATACACAAATTCATAATGTTACCTTTCCTTATCTCTCTTTTTCTCTTTCTTCCTGTTTTATCTTCAGAGCAGCAATCCCTCCTATTTGAATTGCCAGCTGTATGGGAAATCTGATTACTGCCTGGTCCTGCTGAATAACTGCTTGGCCAAGGTGGGCAGGAGCGAAGAAGTGGCTGTTTTAAAGCCTTACCTGGAGATGCCATTCAATAAAAGGTCCTTTCGCAACGGGGTTGGATCAGGAATGAAAAAAACTTCCTCTCGAAGAGCAAAGTCATAAACAAGTGTTCAAAACCGCAGCCCCGGTTTTAGATCTGATGTTTAACTCTGTGCTTAAACCCATTTGAATGCTTTCTGATGATAACGCCAACAGAGACAAATGTACCCGTGTCTTCAGTGTGTAAAGAGAGGTTGATTTCAAAGAGCACAAGCCAAGGGGAGCAGATGGGATTGCTCAGAAGGGGCTTTGTTTCCAAAAGTTATAGGATCATCAAATTTTGTGTTGAAGGTTTTCATTCGGTGAATTCCCCTTCTTTGTAAAGCCTCAGATTCAATCAGGTTGCTCTTGATTAATACAGAAATAATTCTGCACTTTGAATAGATGTGTGCATGCAGTCCCTTGGGAGGACTGATGGTGTTACTCCCATAGAGGCTAACTCACCGGCAAAGCAAAGCATGCTTGTACCTTTCTGTCCCAAACCACATTTACTTGAAACCAACCATTCTGGCAACTGTAAGACAGATTTAAGGTACATTTCATTTGAGATTCCCAAAAGTATCAAGGGCCACTGCTGAAAGAGAGAATCAGGCCCTACTTGTAACTGGTAGTTTCTCTTTCATAGTTATTTAAAATGACTTTAGCAGGAAATAATCCCTTAAGATGTGTCATTTCATTTCCAGAGAAATCACTCTAAGGCCGTGTATCAGTGCTGCTCTCTTTGCCTCAATTAATTGACTTACATAGGAAACACACGTCTGATGAAATGTGCCAAACGTCGTTTCTGTTCATCTGCTACAGCTGTGCTGCAGTAATTAACAATAAGAGGTTTTATTAATTTCCCGGGGGGGGGGGGGGGGGGCGAAGGTCATTTGGTCTGAAAATATGGAAATGTGGTGTGTAGGAAAGGTCATCTGCTGAGTTACGTCTGTGTGAGCTTTACCTCGTGGCTGTCCCCTCCAAAAGCAGTGTAACAAGCTGTGACATTGGCTTGCAAACGTTGCGTGTCCATGTGATGCATTCTGGATTCCAAGCTAAGATAACAATAAATCACTACGTGGATGCTTTCTAATATTTCCCTGTTAACTATCAAAACCCAAGAGATCAGTATTAAACCTAGAATATGGTTGACTGGCATGATCAACTCCACAAAGCCCATTCCTCTGCTTTGCACCCCAGAGCCCATGGAGAAATGTGGCTCAAGCTGTGCTAGTGCCATAGTGGGTTTTGGGACTGCAGCTGCCTAATTCCTGGCTGGTTCCAGGAGATCAAACACACTCCTGTCTGCATTTGTCCCTGCTGAAATGTTTAAAGCATCATATATTTAAAAGCTGCTTAAACACTTAGACTCCTTCTGGGTACCGCTAGTGTCTAGGTTGCTTAGCTCTTGAAGCCCACTGACACCTAGAGACCTTTAAAAATGCATAAGGAAAATGTTAGATAATTATTATTCTTATGCACTCTGTCCTGTGTAATGTCTGGAGGGGGGAAGCCCAGGCCAGCATGCAGGAGTTTCACTGCAGCAGGGCATTAACCCTGTTTCATTCATTCTTGGCCGCTGTGATTTCAGATATGACCCATGTCCTGCAAATGCAATTTTTTCAACTCAAACACTCTAAAGCTGTGTCCAGAGCTGACCAAGAAGGAGGATTTTTAATGCCTTTGGCCATGGAAAGCTGAAGGGCTGAGCATGACTTGGGTGTCTAAAGGAGGGCCACGGGGATGCTGCGAGGACTGGAGCAGCTCTGCTCTGGAGCCAGGCTGAGAGAGCTGGGCTGGGGCAGCCTGGAGAAGAGAAGGCTCCTGAAGGGGAGAACTTAGAGCAGCTCCAGTGCCTAAAGGGGGTAAAGGAAACCTGGAGAGGGGCTTGGGACAAGGGCCTGTAGGGACAGGCCAAGGGGAATGGCTTGAACCTGCCCGAGGGGAGACTGAGCTGAGCTCTTAGGCAGAAGCTCTTCCCTGTGAGGGTGCTGAGGCGCTGGCACAGGGTGCCCAGAGAAGCTGTGGCTGCCCCATCCCTGGCAGTGCTCAAGGCCAGGTTGGACACAGGGGCTTGGAGCAAGCTGCTCCAGTGGAAGGTGTCCCTGCCCGTGGCAGGGGTTGGAGCTGGGTGAGCTTTAAGGTCCCTCCCGATACAAAGACTGCTGAGCATGCAGGTAAGCACCACTGGGAGGTATCAAACCAAACCCTGTGTGCAGGGTCCCACCCCTGGCGCTTCTTCCTTTTCAGCACAGGTAAAGGAAGGTACACAGATTAAATCATGTCCTTATGCAGGCACAAAGTGTGTCTTCTGCATCTGTCTGTACTCAGTGAGGTGGAGGTGTTCTGTCGCAATGCAGCTACCTGGAGTGGCTCTGTCCCGCTCCTTGCAGCTCCTATCACCCTCCAACTTATTTTTCAGGAAAGAAAAACAACCCAAGTCCAGATTTATCTTTGTCTTGGGCTTTCACATCCATTTTAGTGAACTTTTTTTCTCCATAATCAAATACATTTCTGCCTTGGTAACCTGTGATAAACAAGGCTGTCTGTAAGCCAACAGAGCTATATGTGTAGCTTTGAAAATCAGCCTCTTCATTTATTGTGCAGGCTATGACTAAGTTGTTTAGTGCTTTGGTAATTGCCTTTGAGCAGGGTATATTCAGGAGGGATGGAGAGTCGGTATCCCCTTGTTTCTAGTGTGGACTGCAAGAAAAATAGCTTCTTGGCTACAGAACAGAAGCCCATTATTTACGATTTAGTCATTCCCTGACAAGCCACTCCACCTTGAGGGATCTGCATGTATCAAAAGGAAGGTATGAGGAGACCACCAAGAGCCATAAGTCTTGCACTCACCCAGATCGCACCAAGCAAGCCTGGGAAGTGTGGGTCATCCAGTTGACTTACAGAAGAGGTTCTGTCACCCGTGGTCTGATCTTGCCATCACCACTCACTGAAAACCCACAGTAGTTACACTGCCTTTGACGTGTAACGCTGAGCTCTGGTCTGAACTTTAAAGGTGGCTTTATTCTGGAAAGATCAGAGAGTAACCTTAGTGATCTCTGTCAGAAAACAAGGATTGGAGGGTGCCATTGCTCAGCACATTACCTTCAGTGCTGACAGGAACTGGAAATGTGACATCCTGTGTGTTTTTTCAGTGCCAAGAGGACAATGGAGCGACTGTAGGCATGCTAGCCTACAGCATACGTAATGTGCTGCAGTGAGTTATGGTCCTTGCTGGAGAACAGGGATTCATTGCTCGGTGATAAGATATTGGGTTGACTTCCCTCACTATTTTTCTTGGCTAACCTAAAAGCAAGGATAAACAAATCTAGAGGGTAGGAGCAGTAATGCTTTGTCAAGGGATTGAGGAGCAAATCAGGCAGCTGGGAATGCCTTGATTCTTGGCCTTTGAAAGTAATTCAGTTTGTGACCTTACATAAGTCACTTCATTTCTACTTGATTTCTCCACCTGAAAAATAAGACATTATCTTCATTAAACCCTTTCATATAAGCAGTGTCACGAGTAGCGGGTCTGGAAGGTGTTTTGGAGGTGTTGGGACAAAGAAGGGTGGTCTCTGCCCATTAATCCAGGTACTGTTGAACAGAGAAGCTGTGGCTGCCCCATCCCTGGCAGTGTTCAAGGCCAGGTTGAACACAGGAGCTTGGAGCAAGCTGCTCTAGTGGAAGCTTTCCCTGCCCGTGGCAGGGGTTGGAACTGGATGAGCTTTAAGGTCCTTTTCAACACAAACCATTCCAGGTTTGTATGATTCTATGAAGCAGGTGAGATGCTTATTTCCTGATGAGTCTGAGTGAGAGGTGTCCTATACACCTGCACTTTCAAAGTCCAGCTGCTATAATTTATTCAACCTTGTGCTAATAATATTATGTATTTTCTTCTTTAAAAAAAAAAAAAAACACATTAAAATGCATTTAAAGGACATGCAGAATCCCTGAATCCATAGGGATTTTTCTTTTACCCTACTTTGCTCTAACTTCTATCTACCTTTGGAAGCTTTGGACATAAGTTTTCACTAATGAGTCCTTGTCTTTGTGCTGTGAGAGCCATCTCTAAGCACAGCAGTCACTATGTTTGGCAGTCAGCCTATCCTGAGCCCTGGGGTTGGTTGGGCTGCTACTGCCCTGCAGGAGCCTGTGCTGCATCCCCATCCCCACCTTGCAAAGGCTTCTGCAAGTTACTGCATGTTGCCTTCTGCTGCTCTGCTCCCTACAAAGGATCTGTGCCTTTGGAGAAGGCAGCTAAGGTTATCACTAGGTGAAAAAGTAAGGAACAAATCCAGTAAAATATGAACAAGGGAAATCTGCCTGCAGACAGGAGGAGGAATTAACATTTCTCTTTTTATTGGCAAGAAAGGCAATTAAACCGCCTAATGTAAGAGCATCTCATTTACTTGAAAGACTGAGAATTAGTTGTTGTAATGACATACCAATACTTGGTGTTCTGATTACCAAACATGTATTAAAGCATATATATATCACATTTAGATTTCCTAATTTGCTATTATTTGCCTGTACATGCGAATTTATTGCCTTAAAATACTGCAAGGATAAAAGGAAGAAGTCTCTTACTGCTTTTAGCTCTGGATATAATTTTGACCTTAAGAAAGAACAAGACAGATATGAGAGAGTATATTAGATGTTATTATGACTGTAATAAAATACAGATAAAAATCATAGTGCAGAAAGACTCTAAGACAACTATTAAGCATTTGTCATAGAAAGAAAATCAAAATTTAACTTATCAGATATTCTGGCACTTTAAAGATTCATCGTGAAAAATTACTTCTAACAGCGAAGCATTTAGGCAATATGTCGTTGATGAGCTGCCTGCTTAAACGCTTCCAGAGTTTGGGAAAAGATAAAGAAATGTCAAAGATAGCTTTTTTATTAGTCTGACAGAATCTTCCCCTAGATTTACATATCTTTTTGATAGCAAACCAGTATGGCATTGCATTTATCTATTAAGAAAACAAGCTGAGCTCATTGTCCTGCCCAAACATACGGTGGTTGGTGAACATAACCCAACCAGAATGTAGCTTGTGGACTGCAAATATGATCCAGCTCTACATCAGACTTCACTCTGGTATTCAGGTTTAGAGCCAGGGGGGATTTTTCTGCCTTTGTGGTGCTAGAAAGACTTTTTCTTCTAATACCTTACTGGATTTGAAGTCATTGGGTTGATTATGCTTAAAATTAAGAATATCTTAAATGCTCAATCAACTGAGACCTATCTCCTCAAAGCCTTCGGTATGAACCTTTCAGAGGACATAAAAGGGCTCAATGCGATAAGAAATGAGCTATCAAGTGCTGCTCTCAAGACATCCTCCACAACTCATTGAAGCCAACAATAAAGATGCTGAGCACCTTCAATGGGCTTTGGATCAGACGCTCAGCGTATTAAGGGTAAGAGTATTTTGTGTTCTCTACTTACTGTCGGCCGAATGAATCCAGTGAATCTCTATGGCAACCCTCAAGCACCTCACAGCAGCTTTGTGCACTAATAGACTTTTCTTCCCAGGAAGCATCCTCATTGATTTTTGTGGTTTGTGCCTGCTGTCTCTTTTAGCCCTCCATATCTTCATTTGGGGACCGTAGCAACACTGGCATTCCAAAACCACAACCAAATGCTGGAGTTGGGAGCTCCACAAGGAGCAGTTGGCTCAGCCTTCATTAGCAGCCACTGCTTTGTAATTAGTAGCATGACACTTGGGTGAACCAAAGGTCTATAAGGGTGTGTGTGTACATTTAGTTAACCACAGAGATGTAAATACAGGAGTGAGCATTATTCTGGCGTGATTTCAGTCCCACTACCACTTTATTTCTTATTATATTTTAAATGAAAAGTCAACAAGCAAATAGATGATGGTTCTACATGTTGCAGTGTTTTGTTGACTTTGTTTTCAAATCAAACGTAAAGAACAAATGGATCTCAACTTGATTCAAAATACAGGAGGGAATCACAGAACCTTAAAATGGTTGGGTTGGAAGGGAACTTAAAGATCAAGGGAGAATAAGCACAAGTGAAAATGTCCATTGGGGGAAAAATCATTGTCATTTAGCAGTTTTGCTCTTCTGCA